GAAGCTAATTTCATCTTGCCTTCCTCCCAGGAGTAAGGGCTTGGAGTTGGTAAATAAAGCAGAAGTGGGGAGCTTGCTGCCCATGCTGCCTGCTGATGCTTAAGGGGGTATTGATGGCTTCTGGTGTCAGCAGCTTGCCTTCTCCTCTTGGGGGCCCACAGGCTTTCTTTCTCTCTCTAATGGGTTACCCAGGGGGCTTCTAGGGTGATCCCGACAGGGTGGGTATGGCTGCAGAGAAACATCTGGGGGCCTGGGGCAGAAGCTTAGTAAACGAGCCTTTCCCTTCCCCACTCCCTACTTCTATAGTGGAGCACTGAGCACACTGACTGAAATCAATTAGACCAATCAATGCCCCTGAGTGCTGAGTGCATCTGCGCCCTCCTCAGGCGCCTCCAGCACCCTCTCTGAACGCCCACCCTGCCCCAGGACAATGCTCACTCTAGGCATGGGTCCCGTGGGTGAGCTAAACTTTCTCCTTCCAGGTTGGGTCCTGGGAGGTAACGGCGGGGCGGGGTGGGGCCCTGGGGATCTGGAATAATCCCGTGCCCTGGGAAAGAGAAGCAGCCTGCAGAAGGCCAGTGGAAGATTCAGGTCCTGGGTGCCACGTGCTGCCCTGGAACTCCAGCGTGGAACACCAAGGATGGGGCCCTGCCGAGACCCCAAGAAGAGTTTATTCTTTGAAAGTTATAAACAGGAAGCCACGAATGTGGTGATTAATGCACGTTTCACCTCCAAGGTGGGAGACTGACATTGTTTTTGCTCATGACAAAGCCTGCAAGGGCCTAGGCTGGTCACTCTGCTCTGACCCGGTCACCCTCTGGGTGAATGGTTTCATCCTGCATTCCACCTGTCCCCCAGCACCCTCCTGACTGGGCTCCTTAACTCTGCCACTCACCTCCTCCACCCCTGCACGCTGATCCCTGCTGTTGGCCAGGGGAGGGTGGGGGGAAAGGACCCCTCATTTTGGAGCTAAGCCAGCCACATGGTTGCCTCCCAAGTGATTTCTGCTCTCTGGCCTCCACAGTAGCTGTCAGGGTCAGTCTTCTGGGACACCCTTGCTTCCCGACCTGCTGCTTGCTCCCAGGTTCGCAAGCCCAGGTCTCCCATGCTTAACTCGATACTACAGTGTCCCTAAGCTTTCCTTCCCACGGTGGCCAGGCTGTGTGCAACCCCACTGTACCCGTCTTTCAGTTTTCCAGAAACCGAGGGTGCTGAGTCTTCCGTTGTCTCCTCATCAGGTCCTGGGGTACCCTGAGCTAGCCCCTCGCCTTGATGGTGCAGGACTAACTCTACAAAAGCTTCCTCAGGGACCAACATCTTGACGAAGTAGGTTAACTCTCTGATTGCAGTGCCGGCATCCGATATGGGTACTCTACTTTCTATCCAGCTCCCTGCTGATAGCCTGGAAAAGCAGAAAGGATAGCCTAAGTGCTTGGACCACTCCAGCTGTGTACTCCAGGGACTCCATTCCACTCTACAAACAGGAGTAGAGAGAGGGAGAGATCTATATGCTCTTTCCTGTCTCCTGTGCTAGGCTCTTGGATCTATGGGAAGAAGGGAGGAAGGGAGGGAGGGAAGGAGGGAAGGAGGGAAAGAGGGAGAGGTCTTTCACCTGCTGGTTTACTCTCCAAATGACTGTAGCGGCTGGAGCTGGGCTGGTCTGAAGCCAGGAGCATCATCGGGGTCTCTTACGTGGGTGCTGGGGCACAAACACTTGAGCACTTCTGCTGCTTTCCCAGGTGCATTAGCGGAGAGCTGGATGGGAAGTGGAGTACTCAGGACTCTTAACTGGCACCCAACCGTGATGCAGACACTGGAGGCAGAGGCTTAACCTGCTTCTATTTTTGTTTATTTCACGTATTTGAAAGTCGGAGAGATATCAAGAACTCCTATCTGCAGTTTCACTTCCCAGATGCCCACAACAGCTGGAGCTGAGGTCCAGAAATCAAAACCAGGAACCAAGAAACTACACCCATGTGAGTGACGGTTAGAACCCAAGTATTTGAGCCCTTACCGCTGCCTCCTAACATGAGCAAATAGCAGAAGTGGCAGCCAGAACACAAACCCGGGAGCTCGGATGGTAGGATACGGGGTCTCCAGCACAACCTTAAGAGCTACACTCAATGTCCACCCTGTTTCATGAGCACGATAACAGACTCTTGGCCACGTAGAGACAGGAGGAAAGAGAAGGTGCCAGGTCAGAGTGCTCAGCAGCCACCACAAACCACACACTGGCTGTGGCTGGGGCCACCCACTCACTCTTCCTGTAAGAGTCTCTGTAAGTTTCCAGCCCCTCACTTGCTGCCACAGCCCCCTCTCGCTTGCCCCTGTAGGAGCTGAGATGAGTATTCGCTGCTGCTTTGTCTGCCCACTTCCCTGCAGGAAAGGAAAGGAAAGGAAAGGAAAGGAAAGGAAGGGAAGGGAAGGGAAGAGAATGGAATGGAATGGAGAGGGTTTTTTTCTTCTTCTTTTTTTTTCTCAGCTGTAGATAAAAGAAGGTGGAAAAAACCCTAAGTTTGGGAATTGGCATTGTAGCACAGCATGTGCATGTGATAACAAAACAGGTGCCTTGGGGGGCGCACTGCACCACCAGGAGATCCTGGAGGGAGAAAAAGGTTAGAACTGTTCCTGGCCAGACTCCTGCCCCTTGGTCTCTGAGTCCATTCGCTAGCAGCATTCATCTCTTAGCCTACACCTGCCTGAAGCTAGTAGGACCTTAGAAAGCATCCAGAGAACTGGTCAGATGTCTGGTCCTGGCCTAGGACTCGGGGTGGGGTTGGGAGTCGGGGAGAGGGCAGGCGGGAAGGGACCCCCTGGACGGGACCCTCTACCCAGCTAGGGCTGCAGCTCTAACTCTGGAGCCGGGGCTTTTGCCCGCCCCGCCCCTTATCCTTTATCCGCCCCAGGGAGAATTACGGGAGAAAGTGAGGGATGCGTGTACGCGGCGCTCCCGGGGCCGGGAGAAGCCGCGTTCCCGCCTAATCCGTCAGATGAAAGTTGCTCCCTCTAGCTTTCCCAACCAGCTACGTCTGTTGCTTTTGAGCGCGACCCCTCCCTTCGCGGCCAGGTCGATCTCCAGCCTCTCTCCCCCCACTCTCTCTTCTTTTCTCCCTAGCCAGCATTTTAGTTCTTTCTGAAAAGCCAAGACCAAGCACCACGTACGCAGCCCAGATCCGGTTCGGGTCAGTGCGCCGAAAGTTGAGGACACACTACCGCGCGCCCCCAAGCCCGGTACCCATGTTCGGGTGCGCGCGCCTGTGTGCACGCGCGCCGCAGCAAGTCAGGTGCGCGCGAAGGGACCCGGCGTGTAGGGCGGCCCTCGCGCCCCAGGGCAGGCGGTGACCGGGTTAGGGGGGTACGTCTGGACACCCGGCGGCCTGCGCCAGGTGTACCCGCGTGGCCGCAGCCACGTTGCCGCGCCCGGTTCTGCCGGAACGTGCCCGCAGTCTCACTTCTGCCCTTTCCCAGCCAGAAGCTGCCTTTTCGGGTCGTTGATTGTAAAATTCCGTGACTAAAGCACGCCGGGGAGCCCGGCCCACGGGCAGATGGATCCAACACCCCCTTCCTTCCCGGCGGTGGAGGGCGGGTCCCCGCCAGGAGCTTCTCGGGGACCAGCTTCCCCGAGTCCGGGCGGTCGCCAACCAGCGTAGAGGAAGTGATGGTTGCCCGAGCCCGGCGGCGGAGCCCACAGCCCGGGTCGGAATGGGAGCGCTCCCCGCCAGGGCTGGGGGCGCTCCCCGCCAGGGCTGGGGGCGAGCCACCCCCGTCTCCCGCGTCCGATCCCTCCGACACGGAGGCGAGGGGAGGGCATCCGGGCCGAGCAGTCTCTTTCCTTCTGCGAGCTCAGAGGGGGAAGGGGAGACAGGGGGAGAGCGATTGGGGAAGGGGCGTCTGGAAGGGCCAGGAGGCTGGGGCGAAGGGCGGAGAGGGTTGAGGCTATGGTGGCGTGAGGGAAAGTTCTGGAGCTCCGCGTGGGAAGCCCGTGTGTAGGTGCGCGCGGGGCTAGACCGGGGCAGGTGGGGAGGGTGGTCTTGGAGGCGCTGGGGGGCCGGGAGGAGGTCTTCTATCCGTTTGCACCTTTGGGGACACACTCAGCATGGGTTCCTGGTCTGGCGGAAAGAGGCTGTAACCCGCTGAGGGTGGAATCCTTTTCCAAGCCCGTGGCACCAGGTTGGGTTCTCCCGCCCCTCCCTTGGCATCCAGACCCTCTTCGTCATGGTGTTGGACAGGGCACCGGGGACTCCGCGCCCTTCGGCTTGGGCTCAGCCTTCCAGGGCCTGTGAGACCCCGCGGCTCATGGGGCGGGGGGCAGCAACCAAGGAGGGTAGGAGGGTGCAGTCGCTCGCGGCGGGGCGGAGGGCGGGATGGGGAGGAGGAGGGAAAGGATGCAGAGGCTCCGGTGGGTTTGAACCCGAGCTGTACAGCCGGGGAGCCAGTCAGTTCCCGGCCCGGGCTCCAGGTTAGTACAGCGAAGGGCAGGCGACGGAGCGCTGGGGGTGCGGACGGCGGAGCTCGTCTCTCGGCCAGCCTTTCCCGGCGCCACCGCCACCGCCGTGTCGCCACCGCTGCGGAGTGTGGCTGCTGTGCGGCGCGCCCGCGCCCCAGCGCCCCGCGCGCCGCGAGCCGCCTGGGAGCTGGAGCGCCGAGCCCGGGGCGCAGGAGAGGGGCGCGGGCGCGAGAGCCGCGGCGAGGGAGCCGCGCGGAGGGGGGAAGGGGCGGGCGCAGGGAGGGCGGGAGGGAGGAGCGGGGAAGAGAGGGAGAAGGGGAGGGAGCGAGCAGAGCGAGGGAGAGCTGGAGAGAGCGAGAACCGAGAGCCAGAGCGAGGGAGACCGGAGCAAGCGAGAGAGAAGGAGGAGAGCGTGGAGGACGCACGCGGAGCCTCTTGGTGGCTAAGATTCCAGCAGGAAAAAAAGTGAGGCGGTCCAGGGTGAGCGGGAGAAGATTTTCCGGTTTTCTTTTCTTTTCTTCTTCTTCTTTATTTATTTATTTATTTATTTTTTTGAATCTGTGCTTCGTCTGGGTCCGCGGTCCGCGAAGCTCCGAGTGGATCGTTCCCGGGGCGCTGACACCCGTCGGTGGATTGCTCTCTCCCGTGTGCGTGTGGCTCCGAAGCCCGTCTCGCTGCTTCCTTCCAGCCCTCGGCTCTCCGGCCGCTCGCCAAGCCCCTCCTGGGGCACGCCAGCGGGGAGATCGGGCCCGCGTGAGTGTGTGGCGGGGAGCCCCGCGCGCCTTCCCCGGACGAGCTCAGGGATCAGGGCTGCCGGCTGCCGAGGCAGGCGTCCACCTCGCTGCTGGTGTGTGTGTGTGTGACTGTGTTGGATTCCGGGGGGCCGAGGGGGCGTCGAGAGGCAGCCCGGCGCTCTGCTGCCGCCCCACCCCCTCCAGCCAGAGGCGAGAATCGCCGGACTCTCGGATCCGCTCCGGTTTCGCTAGCTGCTGGGATCTCCACCTTGGATTCGCGGCTGCTTGTTTCTGCTCGGCTGTTATTATTATTGTTGCCGCTGCTGTTATTTTATTTTTCCCCAAGGGAGAAAGCACAAAAAAAAAAAAAACCCCAAAACAAACCAAAAACAACTGTGGGATTTAATTAACATGATCTTGGCAAACGCCTTCTGCCTCTTCTTTTTCTTAGGTGAGTACCCGCGGACGGCGGCGAGCCCGGGGGAGGTAGTGCTGGTGCTGGTGGTCGTGGGGTGGGCGAGCCGCTCGGGGTCGCGCCTTCCGCCGCCAGCGTGGGGCCGGGCAGGTGGGGCGCGCGGGCAGGAGACGGGCGCGGAGGGCGCGCGGCGGTGGAGCCCCAGGCGAGGCCGGCTTGGCGACTCGGGGACCGACGACCACGGCGTCCCCGCACACACACTCCCGCGCGCGCGTGCACGCACACAGACACGCGCACACTCGAGGGCTCGCATACCTTGGGAGCGCGCCCGTTTCTCCATTAGACCCTGGATTCAAATTGTGGCAACTTCAGGGGAAAAAAAATTGCAGTCAACTCTGGATCTGGAAGATGGGAGGGAAGGGAGATAGAAAAATTCAGGCCCGGTCCTTAGCAGGGGCCGGTGGGTGAGCGCTGCGCCTTGAGTCCGTGGAGGTGGCGAGGTGGCGGGGGCGGCGACGCAGGGCGGGGATTGGGGATGTAGTGTATGCTTCCTCCTCTGGGCAGCTGCAAGGCCGGACTGTTGTTGGGAAGGGGTTCAGCTGGCTGTCATCCCCATCTACTGGTCAGCCTCCGGGGCCAGGCACCCTGACGCCCTAGCCAGTTCCCAGTGGCTGTGCTCCCTAAAACACTTCTCAAGTTACTCCCTTTCCTTCTGCCAGCCAGACCCTGGGTGGCGTGAGCAGCCTGGTTGTCTTCATCTCTGACAGCAAGGGACCCCCTTAGCTGGGGAGGAAAAGTAGGGTGGCAGAGGGAAAGTTTGCTCATCCCCTCCAGTGTACAAGGTGAGGAGGGGTGAGGAAAGAAGAGAGCTGGTTACCAGGATTCCGCCCCCTCGCCAACCCTCTCCTGCCCGGGAGCCCTACTCCCCTCTGCAGTTGCTTTCCTAGCTTTTTCTGGACCTGCTCTCTGTGCTGGGGGGGAGGAACCTGAGCCGGCTGGGCTGGAGGTGTTTGTCCAGAGAAGGTGGCCCCCAGGTGGAGGTGAAAACCCGAGGCTCAGATGGGCATTGCCTCTGTGTGTGTGTGTGTGTGTGTAAGCAGCACACAGCTCACTGTGCTGCCTGTGCCCTGCAAGGTGGTGGGAAGAGGTGGGTGCTGGTCCTAGCAAGATGTGCACCTGCCGGGTGGAAGGAAGAACCCTGCAGACACTCCCCCTCATATCCCCGGGGAGGGGGAATAATCTGGACTCTGTGTGTGTTGGGGGAGAGAAGGGAGTCTGATGTTGATCAGGCCCGGGGCACTGGGCCTTGCCTGCTTCCTTCCTGCCCGCTCCTCATGCCAGGCGGGAAGTCCCCTGGGGGGCCTGGCATTGCTCGAGGGTGTGGCTTTCCCTGGGTCCCACCTACTGGCTGGAGGCAGTTCCTTCCTGGGGTGGGAGGAGCCATGGGTGGTCCTCCCCACTCCCTCCCCACAGTCCTGGAAGAGCAGCCCTTTCCAGGCCCGGACCTTCTGTTGGGATATCCTCACTGCTTGTGCGGAGAGGGCCAAGGCGGGGGAAGCTCCCCGCTCTTTCCTGAAAGTGGCAGTGAGGGTCATGCTTGGGGTGGGTGTGAGTGCATGGCAGGTGGCGGCGTGTGGAGTGGGAAGGCACCCCCTGGCATTCAGGGTGGGGAGTGGGTATCCAAGCTGGCCAGGTCCCTCTCCGTTCTGAAGCTGGACTGAGGAGCTTAATGAATGCAGTGATGACTGGGGGCGTGGTCAGAGACCCTGGTCCAGTGCTTAGGATTCAGTTGGTGGCGCCCTCCCCCACCCCTGGCCCTCTTCCTTGGTGATGAGTGGAGCTTGGATGGGAATTCTGCTGCGTGAGGGGACAGGGTTTTCTGGGGTGGCTGCAAGGGGAGAACCTTTCCTAGGAGCACAGGCCTTTGGTGTGCCCTGATTGGAGGTTCCTGGGTGAGGTCTGGCATGAGCCAGGAAGGTTGGGGACCTGGGTGGAGTGAGTGGCTTACCTGGCCAGCCATCTTGAGCTCCAGCGTTGGTGTGCTCAGGGCAGGTGAGCGAGGGGCTCGCTTAGCGTTCCTGAGGGCGCTGTCAGCCCTAGCTGTGCCTCCTGGAGCTGCTCCACGCTGTGCTTGGTGGAGCATGGGTTTTCTGGCCATCTGAGGCTTGGCAGCGTCACCGTATCATGGCCTGCTGCCCTTGTCACCGTTAGGTTTTTGGCCGAGAGCTTTGGAATAGCACCATTCTCTTCTAGGCCTGGCCTTGAGTGCCTGTGAGAGTCAGATGGCTTGGTTTTAAGATGTCCCAGTTTCTTGTCTAGTGTATCCCTGGCTGGGTGTCATGTGCCCCCTTGGTAAGACAGGGGTGGAAATCCTTGACGTTGAACCTGTCAGGGATGTGGGATGGGTTGGCTGTGGGGGAGGGGGCTCTGAGGCAGGTGGGATAACGTCATCATGACCCTCACCCCCCACCCCCTTAGGCCTTTGCCGACGGTTCCATACCCAGAAGGCCAGGGTGCAGGGAGGGCCTGTTCTCTGGCAGCCCTCTGCCCCACACAGGTGGGAGGGAGAACCCAGAGCTAGCTTGGCGGTGGGGACAGCAGGTGCACACGGGGGCTACCCCGGTCATTCCAGCTGTTGCTGTGTGGCCCAGAAGCCCTCGGTGCTGCTCAAGGGGTGTGTGGCAATCTGTTGAAGCCAGGGAAGGAGAGACGCTGGCTCAGCTTGTGCAGTGTGGCCGGGGTTCCAGCCAGGAGCCTGCAAGACTCCACTGCTGGTCCACACTGCTTCCTCCTCTCATCCAGCCTCTGGTCTCTCCTTTTAGAGGACTGGGCAGCAGGAGAAGGAAAGGTCTTTGGCTCTGGCCCTTCAGGCCGTCCTGGCCACCTCCTGACCCCTTTTCCCACCACCAGCGGTTTCCCCCGGGGGCGTCTGGGCAGTGGCTCTCCTGCTGTGCAGTGCTCTGCCTCTTGGTGTCGCTGTCCCCCTGCACTAGCACCCCCCTGAGCAGGTCCTCCTGGGGGCGTTGCAAGGGAGAGAGAGGATGGGTTTGAATGGGGGAACTTGGCTCTGCTGTGTTCCTGGGAGGAGACTTCTGGCCTAGGGTTTTATTAGGTTTCGGGGTGGAGCGGCGTGGAAAATGCCTTCTCCAGCACTCTTTGTGTCCTGGAAGAGGCAGTCATGGCTCTGGGCTGTGGCTTGGGCATTTTCTTGGGAGTGAGGTGGGGTGCAGGATCTGGAATTGGGGGCTTAGGAGAGAGGGCGAGGAGACCCCCCCTCCCCACCAGATGTCTATGTGTCGGGAACTTGGGTCTGGAGTTCGGCTTTGAGATGGGTGGACGTGGCTGGTCCTCATCTTCCCATTTTTTCCCCCTAGCCTCCTTCTCCTGGGCAGGCTGCTGTGTATTTGCATCTGCTGGCAGAAGTGGGCTGGATTTAGGGGCTCAGTGAACGGGGGCTGGGGGATGCTCTGTGCTTCCCAGCTTGCCTTGTTGCTTGGTGTCTCAGAGGGGGAGAGGATTAAAGGGAGAAAGGGCTTCAGGATAGCATGGAGGGGAAAGAGAGAGAGAGAGAGAGAGAGAGAGAGAGAGACCATTGGAAGAGCAGAGAGGCAGCAGCAGAGGTTGAAGCAGTGCATCCAGGCACTCAGGCTGGGCCGGCCTGCAGCACCAGCTTTTGGAGGGGGCTGTGGTGGACCTTGTTGGATGACGTATGATGGCCAAGTTGGCAGGTTTTTGCTTGGTGCTAAAGCTGAGTGAAAAGGTGTGGTAGGAACCCTACCCTAGAGCCAGGTTCAGCAAGCCAACGTAGCCTTGGATTGCTATGTCCCGTCTCTCTGGGTTTGCCTCAGTTTCCCCCGGGGCTTGGCTGGCTGCGGGGTCCATGTGTGGTCCCCACAGGCTGTGACGGTCGTTTCAGGCTATTCTCAGGGCCTCCGCTGGCCTGGTCCGCTGGCTGCAGCTGAGATCTCTGGGATGGGGGTGAGATACAGTGCCTCCCCACAACAACCCTGCCCTGCCCCGTGTGCAGGCCGCAGCATCCCGTGGCCCAGTGCGGTCCTCACCCAGCCTCTGGTGCTGGGAACCCTTGGCGAAGGCCTGCTGAGTCAGCCTACCTCAGCGTGCCTTCCTGTGAGATGGGCGCGGAGGTTTCCAGCCCAGCCCCGTCCCGAGCCCCCAGACCTGCGTCTTGGGTGGGTGGCTCCTCCGCGGCCCTCATTCACGCTTGTCTTCCCTCCCCCTCCTACCACTTGCCGCCCAGACGAGACCTTCCTCCGCTCTTTGGCCAGCCCTTCCTCCCCGCAGGGCCCGGAGCTCCCCCACGGCTGGCGGCCCCCGGTGGACTGCGTTCGGGCCAATGAGCTGTGCGCCGCAGAATCCAACTGCAGCTCTCGCTACCGCACACTGCGGCAGTGCCTGGCTGGCCGGGACCGCAACACCATGCTTGCCAACAAGGAGTGCCAGGCGGCCCTGGAGGTGTTGCAGGAGAGCCCCCTCTATGACTGCCGTTGCAAGAGGGGCATGAAGAAGGAGCTACAGTGCTTGCAGATCTACTGGAGCATCCACCTGGGGCTGACTGAAGGTGAGTAGGGGCGTGGCTGATGCCCGGCCAAGTGGCCACCTCTCCATGGGGATGGCAATGGGGACCGGGGTGGAGGTGCAGGTGGCTTGCAGTGGCTTGCAGAAGGAAAGGAGTACCTGGAGGATGGAGGGCCAGGCTGGATACTGCGTGTCCAGGTGTTTTCTCTGCTGCCCCCAGGGTCGGGGAGCGTGGGCAGTATGTGGCTGGGATGGGGGTCTTTTCTTTTTTGGCCAGCAGCTAGCACATGGTAGCCAGCTGTGAGCCACTGCTGATGGCTCTTGGACTGTCCCCAGTGATACCGGCTTCTTCTAGAGAGGAGTCTGTTCCCAGAATCTGACATCCTGGGCTTGGCGTCAGAGGCCGGGCCCTGCAACGTCCCAGCTACAGGGACCTAAGGGGAGGTGGGATGGGCAAAAAGCAGGTGTGAGAAGGCTGTTGAGTTGAGATCCGGAGACTGGCTGACCTGTGATTACAATAACTGAGAGCTATTACAGAGACAGAGGGAGAGAGAGAGACCTTCCATTGCTGGTTCACTGCCCCATTGGCCGTGTTAGCTGGAGCTGAGCCAGGCTGAAGCCAGGAGCCAGGAGCATTATCTGAGTCTCCCACATGGGGTGTAAGAACCTAAGCACTTTTGGGCCATCCTCCACTGCGTTCCCCGACACAGACCCAGAGAGCTGTATGAGAAGTGGAGCACTTGGGACTTGAACTGGTGCCCGTAGGGGGTTGCCGGTGCCACAGATGGTGGCCTTACCCTCTATTGCATGGTGCTGGCCCCTGATCCCTAAATTCTTAGACTGTTTGGCACCCCTACATTGCCAAATGAAGTGTAGGGAGGCTCTGGGACAGGGAGGTGATGGGGCAAGGGGTTGGGGGAAAAGGAGGGTTCAGCAACTCCTAGAGCTTGCCGGGAGCTCCACCCCACTAACAGGGGCTGGGTGAGGCTCCTTCAAGGAGCTCCCCAACCCTACCCAGGCCTCCCTTCCTCTAGGCTTAAGCCTGGGTGGGTAATCGATGCCTGAGCCTGAGGCACTCTGCTGTCTGCCCACCCTTCGCCACACACACGCTTGGTCTGAGTGACCACCATTGATTTCTTTTCCCTGAGGAGGTACCGGGAGGGCCATTCCTTTCCTGCCCACCACCATGCCTTGGGCAGGGGGCTGGGCAGTCTGGTGCGGTTTTATCCCATTCATAAACTTGGAAGAGCCTAGAGCCTAGTGGAAAGAGAGGGAGGGAGGAATGAAGGACTTGGCTTGTAGGAGGTGATGTCCCCTTGAACGTGGACAGCCCCTTAGGTGGAAAGCAGAGAGGGGATTGTACCTTTCTCATGCTTGGGGCAAATCCAGAGGCTGGCTCATCCTTGAGTAGTGATGTGACCAACCGCAGGCAGGTGGTCTCCCTTGCCTGGCCTCTTGCCCATCCTTCCATCCCTGTCGCCTAGCCATGTCTTATGAAATAAGGGAGTCACAGGAGATGGGTGCTGGATGTGCCATAGGCTCTGGATGTGTGTGGAAGTCTTGCAGGGAGAGCTGGCCACGTGGGGAGGGGGCAGGCAGTTCCTGTCTGGGGAAGGAGACAGGGATGCAGTTTTGACCTCGGGAAGTTGAGGAAGAACTTAGCTGTACGCGTTATTGAGCGTCTGTCTCCCTGTGCACCTGCTCCATCCTGGGCAGACATGCCGGGCAGGTGGAACTGCACCTGATGTCACTTCTTCCTTGTAGGTGAGGAGTTCTATGAGGCCTCACCCTACGAGCCGGTGACCTCCCGCCTCTCGGACATCTTCAGGCTTGCTTCCATCTTCTCAGGTAAGTTGCCCTGGTCTCGAGGTCAGGTGTCCCCTCTCCCTCCCTACCCCTGCCCGGCTCGGTTACCCATCTGTACAGGAGGAGGAGCTTGTGCCGCTTGCCTCATCCAGGTAGCCCTCTGTCTTGATTGAGGCTTTGTAGGCCTGGCTGTCTGGGGTGGATCCCGGGTCTGGAACTGGTTCTTTGGCCTGTGGGTCCTTGTTGCTTCTCTCCAAGCCTTGGCTTTCCTGCTCGGTTGAGTTGCTTTGCCTCTCAGTTTTCACGGCTGGTTTGCAGGTGGAATGGCAGTGCCTGGATTGTTGCCTTGTTGTTGGTGGACCCTTAAAACCCTCAGCTGCCCCCCCTCCGCCACGGCTCCTGGAGAGTGGGGAGGGACAGGGGCAGGGACCCTTGCTGGCTGTGGCCCTGGGTGCAGGCTGAGCACCCCTCTGTCCCCAATCCCAACTGGCACAATCTGAACTCCAGCATGCTCCCATGTGGTTTAGAATCTCACTGGCAAAGGGGGCGTCACACCGATCCACAGTCACCAAGCAGGTGCACTGAACATCCCTTCAAAAGCTCCCTTTGGGCTGAGCACATGAAGGTGCTTGGGCAAACCCGTCTCCAAGATGTTTTCATCCTCATCTCTGAGCAAAGTCCAGAATGAGAGGCGCTGGGCTGCTGTCCCCAGGCGTTTCAGCAACCGGGTCTCTATCCTGTAGCCACCGTGGGTGTTAACTACCGTCCGTTCTGCTGTGCTTGTTTATGCTTCCAGAACCACACTGAGGAGGTGTCTCTGGTCCCTACCTGCTCCCTTCTCCCCCTAAGCTGCCCTGGCTTTGGGGGACAGAATGGCGGTGGTGGGTACTGAGAAGGACCGTGCTGGGCGCTAGCTCAGCCAGCCAGCAGTGCCCAGGTTGGAGGCCTACTGAACTCTGTGGCTTGTTCTTCTTGGCTTGTGAGGTCTTGTGGCATTTGAGGGATCCCGAACCCCGGGGCAGGCTGCCAGGCTTTTGTCTGAGATTGACCAGAGCTGGCTTGTTCCCTTGGAGGGTCTCTAAGGGTGGAAAGGGGGCTTGCAGGTGTCCACGCAGTTTTGTGGTTGTCTCGGAAATCTGCGGCGATTCCTAGGCCCTTGACTAGGCGCCCACATTAGTGATTTGCCCGGCAGTTCTTGCAGGAAAAATGCTTTGTGCATTGTGGGATGTTCAGCATCTACCTGGCAAGCATGCCCTGGGTGTGCGTCTTGGTTGCAGACCCTGCTATGCCAGGTGTCTGCACTGTGGCTGTCAGCTGAGAACTCTGCTTGAAACAAAGCCCCTTAGATGAATTTTTAAAAATTATTTTAATTATTATTTAATTGTCATTTATCTGAAAGGCAGAGTTACAGAGAAAGGCAAAGAGAGAGAAATCTTCCAATCTTCCATCTCCTGTTTCATTCCCCAAATGGTCACAAGAGGTAGGGCTGGGCCTGGTGGAAGCTAGGAGCCAGGAACTTCTTCTGGGTCTCCCACATGAGTGCAAGGTCCTCAGGCTTTGGACCATCCTCTGCTGCTTTCCCAGGTCATAAGCAGGGAGCTGAATGGGAAGTGGAGCAGGCAAGAACTTTAACCAGTAGCCATATGGGATCCTGGCACTGCAGGCGGAGGATTAGCGTGCCATAGCACTGCGCCGGCCCTGGGTTTCATTGTTTAAAAAAGTTGTTTTTATGATGGCCTCTCCTAAACAGCAAAATTAGGTACTGAGGCATAGGGTTTGGTTGCAAAGGATTGGGTTTTGGGAGTTCCAGAATCCATGGTAATAGTAAGATCTGCCCTGTCTGCTCACTTGAGAACACATGTGCTGTGCCCTTCCTCGCCTTGGCCCCCCGACTGTTGGGAAAGCCTGCTGTGGTGTGACTGGATGTGGTGTTTGCATGCACCTGCTGAAAGACATCCCAGGCTCCTGTGAGAAGGACTGTCTGGGCGTGACCTTGGACTCCAGGGGCAGCAGATGTCTGAAGGGAGGTGGATGCCTGAGATCCCCCTTGCTGGACCATGGCGGGCGCGCTGGGCTCTTCCGTCCTACTTCCTCCAGTCTTGCCTGTGTCGTGATGGGCTGGCCGAGGTCCCTTCTAGAATGTCCTGATTCTCACATCTCATTAGACCTCAGACAGTGCTCCTGGCAGGTGCACCCCACGGTGAGGCTGCCTTGGGAGCCTCAGATGCACCTGCGCCGGTCCTGCCAGCAGCCCAGGTGCCTGTCCTGTGTCCCCCTGCATGTTTTCCCTTGACTGATTTCCCTGCCCCTTGGCTTGCTCCCTGCATGTGGCCTCTCCATAACCCAGCTCCTCCACCCCCTGCCATTTCCTGGGCTCACATTGAAGCGTCTCCCTAAGCAGGAAATCTTGACTTAGTGGACTTGACAGTCCCTGGAACTAGGATGTTGAGGAGACAAATGAGGAAGTTACTCTGTAACCCAGCTACCTGCACCCTCTCCCCACCCTGGCTCCCTGCTACTGGGAGGTAGCCAGGACCCGGGGGGAATCTTGCGTCTGTGTACTCTGAAAGGATCCCTCCCCTGCCGTCCGAGAGGGCTGGCTTTGGGGTCTTGTCACCCACTATGTGTGGTGTAGGGGCCCTGTGTGGTGGGCTGACGCAGGGAGTGAAGCAGGGAGATGGGTCCTGTTTGCAGCAGCAGTGTACACAGATCTTGAAAGTACCATCTGGGGTTCCTAGGAGGAGTCTGGGACACAGAGGTGGGAGGGTTGGAGGAGGGAGAGCAGAGGCCTTGAGCAGACTAATCCGGGTCTGATCTTGCCTTGGTTGCTCCAGGCTTAGCGGTCTCAGGTCTCCCTGCAGCCTTTTTGAGCTGGCGCCTGTTGGTGTTGTGTTAGTGGTCTTGGCATGTTGGCATTGAGCAGGAGGGGGTTCAGGGCACCCCCTGCGAGTGAGGCTGTGGTCAGGGATTACCCTCGTCCCTGCCCAGTGTGTTTGATGGAGGCGGGAAGTCATTGGGAGGGGACGGAGCAGGTGGTGCAGCTAAAGCTGATTGGTGACCTTGTGTGACCTGGAGCCATCCATCAGTGAGGGGGGCAGTGGGAGAAGAGGCCAAATGGGCTGCAGGGCCACCAGGGCTCTGCCTTATAGAGGAGTGATGGGCAGGTGGCCTTGGTCGGCTGGGGTCTGGAAACCTCTCCTGCAGCTGGAAGGGAATTTGGGGGTCATGCAGGCCCACCCCTCCACCTGACAGGGTAGGCAAATGAAGACATGGGAAAGAGAGACCAGGGCTCCACTTCTGGTCCCCTCCTGGCCCAGTGTGCTTCTTATGCAGGTGCTTCTCCTCTTACTTACTATGGGGCTGGTAGAAATACCTGCCTTCTAGGGTTTTTTATAAAGACCCATGTCATGCTGGCTGTGTGTGCTTCCCCAATACCTGGTGTGTTCCAACTAAAATGTGTAGCTGCTTGGAAACGGTCATGGGGGAGGCTGCTTGGCTCGGGAGCTGAGTGAGCTGTAGTAGTTGGGTTTGCATCCTGGCTGTGGCTCATGCAGACTCCCCTAGTGATGGCACCAGTAATTGGATCCCTGCCACTCAGCGTGGGAGACCTGGACCAAGTTCCTGGCTCCTCGCTTTGGAAACACACTCTGTCTTTTGGTTCTGTGCCCCTGTCAGGCCTAGAAGCTAGCTCTCAGTGAGCCGGGGGTTGGGGCTGCCTTTTTGGTTGCTGTTGTGTCCAAGCAAGAACTCGTTGTGGCATAGTGTGTAAAGCCACTGACTGTGAGGCCAGCATCTGGTAAGAATGCCAAGAGTCCTGGCTGCTTCACTTCCAATCACGCCCCATGCTTATGCACCTGGGAAAACCGTGGAGATGGCTTGGGTGCCGATGTTCTTGGCACTCCAGGCTCCTAACTTTGGCTTGACTCAACCCTGCCTATTGTGGCCATTTGGGGAGTGAACCATTGGATGGAAGCTCTCTCTCTCTCTTTTTACGTCTACTGTGCCTTTCCAGTAAGCAAACCTATATATATATATATATATATTTTTTAGTTATTCGTTTTTATTGGAAAGGCAGATCAGGTTTACAGAGAGGAGAGACAGAGAGAAAGATCTTTCATCTGCTGGTTCATTCTCCAAATGACCACAATGGCTGGAGCTGATCCCATTCAAAACTAGGGACCAGGAGCTTCTTCTGGGTCTCCCACATGGCTGCAGGGTCCCAAGACGTTGGGCCGTCCTCTGCTGCTTTCCCAGGCTATAAAATGGATGATAAGTGGAGCAGCCAGGAAATGAACCGGCACCTGTATGGGATCTTGGAGGTTGCAGGATGAGGATTTAGCCTTGAACCATTCTGCTGGACCCAGTAAGTAAATATTTTTTTCTTTTCTTTTTTTCTTTTATAAGATTTATTTATTTTATTGGAAAGTCAGATATACAGAGAGGAGGAGAGACAGAGAGGAAGATCTGCTGTTTCACTCTCCAAGTGCCATATTGGCCGAAGCTGAGCTGATCCAAAGCCAGGAACCAGGAGCTCCTGGCTTCTTCTCTCACATGGATGCAGGGTCCCAAGGCTCTGGGCTGTCCACTGCTTTCCCAGGCCACAAGCAGAGAGCTGGATGGGAAGCGGGGCTGCCGGGTCACAAAATGGTGCCCGTTTGGGATCCCACCATGTGCGAAGCAAGGACACTAGCTGCTAGGCTATTGCATAGGGCCCCACACTTTGGCTTTGAAAGAGGAAGTCCCCAGGTCCATCATGTGTGAAACTCCTTCTCTTTGGTTGCTAGCGTTGTCACTGCGAAGTGAGGATGAACAGGCCATTGTGGGAATAATTAGGATGCCAATATCAAAATCTTAAATATATGCACATGTATACACATACCTTCCCAAATGCCAAGAATGCATTTCCAAGGAACAAAGCACTCAGACGTGGCTAGAATGACCCCATTCAGATGTGTCCCTCACTGATCTTCTTGTTAGATAAGGTTTTATTCATTTTTATTGGAAAGGCAGCTTTACAGAGAGGAGAGACAGATCTTCCATTTTCTGGTTTACTTCCCACTACGCTGCAACGGACATTGCTAAGCTGATCTGAAGCTGGTGGCCAGGAGTTTCTTCCAAGGACCTAGGCCATCTTCTTCTGCTTTCCCAGGTCATAAGCAGGGAGCAGGATGGGAAGTGGAGCAGCTGGGATGTGAACTGGCACCCATATGGGGTGTCAACACTACAGGTGGAGGATTAGCTGGTTGAACCCCCCGCGTGGACCCCTCCTCCATTGATCTTGGGTGAATCTGCAGTCTGTATGTCGGATGGATTCCCGGTGGTGGCTTGGGTCGCTTCCCCTGGGGAGTGCTGGGTGGCTGTGAGGGAGGGGGGACAGGGCCAGGTGTAAGCCAGCAGCCCAGAACTCCATCCAAGTCTCTGATGGGCATGTTGGGGATTTGAGTCCTCCCAGGGCGCGCAGCAGCAGGAAGCTTGGTCGCAAGCTACAGGGACTCCTGTAGGGAACTCGGACATTGTCACAGTGATGTGCTGGACACCTGCCTCTGGAGGACCCACTTCTAAACAGAGCTGTGCTGCATATGGGCTGTGGGCGTTATATCCCATTTCATCTCTGAGTCCTCCAGGGTGTGGGCAGGCAGGTGTTCTGTCCTGTTTAACAGGAAGAGGCTCCCCTCCTGGCAAGCAGCCCCTGGCTGGGCAGCAGCCCCAAACCTCCCCAACACCTCCACCACCCCCTTGCTTCGGCAGCTCAGGCCCCAAGACCAAGCCTGGCAGAGGGAAGCATTGCATGCCATGACCTGATGCCGGAAGCTCTGGGGAACCAGGAGTCCTTTGTCCCTCCCTCCAGTGACTGCTCAAGGGACACACAGTGGGAGCATGGGAGGGGTCTGCTGGCTCTGATGGCCCCAGGAAGAGGTCAAGCAGTAGGTGGGTGCAGGCCACTGGGCTGCTGCATGTGGGCAGCCCTGAAATCTTTCCCTCTGGCCTTTCCGTTGTGATCTTTGCTGCCTTCCATCATGCCCTGTGTACTTGGCTTATTTCTTGGTCCCTCTTGTGTCTCTGGAGTTGGCTGGCCATTTGGCCTGGTGCCTTTTTTTTTTTTTCTTATGATTTGAGTCTGCTTCTCCCCAGAGCTCTGGTCTGGCCACCTGCGTTGCCAACCTTTGCGGCCCTGGCTGGCTAGTCGCTTGAGCTCTGCACCTTTTGAGCCTTCGCCGTTTCTGACACCTTCACGGGCACGGTTCTCGGGCGTCCTCGACTGCAGTCAGAGATTCTATTCAGGCCTCCTCCTTTCGTTCCATGTAACGCTGTCACCATCTGTCCGGTGCTCAGGCCAAAAACCTGGGTGTTTTCTTCCATCTCTTCCCCCCTCTCTTCTCTCATTCTCTTTATCTCTCTCTCAAACACCTTCTCCTCTCTTCTTTCTCGTCTCCCCTCTCTCCCTTCTCTTTTCCCTCTCTTCCTCCCGTCTGCTCTTCTCTCTCCTCCTCTTTCTCCTTTATCTCTTGCTCTAGTCCTCTCTCCCCTCTCTCCTCTCCTTCTCTCACTCTCTTGCTGTCTCTCCCTCCTCTGTTGTCTCTCCTCTCTTCTTCTCTCCTCCTCCTCCTCTCCCTTCTCTCTCACCTCCAGAACTGGCAGCATTCTCCCTGCAGGAGGTGAGACTGGGCTCACTTTAGCCATCTTTGCCTGTGGTCACCATCCAACGCAGGTTGCCACTGTCTGTCACTTGTTGCTGCGACAGCTGTCCCCGGCCCACCCCTCCTGCCCCTGCTCTGCGATGCTCCCTCTCCTGTCTGCCAGCCAGTGAGCACGTGGGACTTGCTATAGGAGTATGGGAAAGACTGGGAATGGACACGTTGCGGACGAGGCAGAGGTGCATGGTGGGCGCAAGCTGGGGGCTTTTCGAGCCTCTGGTTGGGAGGCTGTGCCCCGCCTCTGCGGCAGCCTCCTTTCTCTTCCGTGGGAGATGAGTGAGTCAAGGGTGTCTCCAGGGCTGGGGCTGGGAGCGTGACTTTAACTGGGTCTTTGGAGAGTGCCAAGAGCTGTTTAATCCGCCTCATCTGCCCTGGGCAGCTGTTTTCCATTTCTTCCTTGGCACATCTCAGCTGTCCCCAGAGGGGCCTGGGAGAGCCGCAGCAGGGTGGGAGCCCCATAGCATGCGCCCTGGCGGCCTGGCCTGCATCTCTGAGTGCTTGAATCCTTGCAAGGTCTTGGGTGGTCTTGTCAACTCCCTCTGCTGGGCTGGGCTGGGTTGGAAGAGTGAAGCCTCATTCCTGCCCTTTGCAGACTGAAGTGTGGGGTGGATTGGGGGTGGGTAGCTGTGTCTGGAATCCTCTGTCTCCTTTTGTCTTCCTCACTGCATGGGGACTTGGAGTCTTCTCTGGATAGAAAGGCTGCGGACGTGTTGGGAGACGCCCCCTGCTTGGTGAGGGGCCAGCCTGGGGTCCTGTCTCCCAGTAGGGGAGTGGGGCTCCCTGGTTACCCTCTCTCCCTAGGAGAGGGAGAATCAGGGTGGGGGCTAGTCTTCTGGCAAGCAGGCAGTTGCTGTGGTTCTGTAGATTTCTTGATTTTATTTATTTTTTTCTTCTAGTCCAGGAAACTTACCAAGTTTGGGCCCAGGGGTGTGCATTTCCCACCCTCTAGCAAAAGCTTTTGCTCTTCCAGCTCCGAATGGAAGCCACAGAGGCTATAATTACACTGGCATCAACGCAGGCGCCTGCTGCGAGCAGGGATGTGCACCTGGGGAGCGTGCACGCAGCCGCAGCAGCCGGTGGCCTCAATTAGCTGCTGCTCCCTTTGCCCGCTCCTCTCCTGAGCCCATCCTGCTTGGCTACCCTGCTGCTTGAGCCCTGGTCGGATCCTCACTCACTTCCCCTCTCTGGTCCTGCCCATGGAGGCAGGGTCCCTATTTTAACCTTCTGTGCTGACATGCATTTTCGGGTCTTGGCCTCAGGGTCATGCTTCTCTCGTTGGCAACCTGATCATCTCTGGCCGCAGCTAGCTAGGCCAAGGGCTTTCAGTTCCCCCCCTTCCAGGAATGCCCATGTCTGCCTCAGGTTCCAGAAGGTTCACTCCCAGCTGTTAGGGTCAGTGAAGGAAGTCATCGGGTGAGGATGGTTATAGCACAGAGTGGGGTGACCTGGACTAAGGTAGTGGCAGAGGTGCTGGTAAGAAGTGGTTCCCGGGTCTTGTTTCCATGTGGGCAGTTGGATGACGGGTCTGGGATTCAGGGAAGAGGTCCAACACTGGCGATCTGAACCTGTGAGTCCATAGCGTCTTGGTCACATGTGAGGCTACAAGTTGAGTCCTAGGGAACAGGTGCAACGTTGAGAAGAGGGCAATGAGCCCTGGGTGGGGGAAGACAGGACTTATAAAGCAGGCTTTGCAGAGGGTGCTGGGCATCCGGCAAGGAAGGGAGCCAGGTGGGCAAGGGTGAGCTCTGTGCCCAGGGCTGCTGCTGCCAGGCTGGGAGTGGGATGTCTCAGGGGCATCTGACGTGTTATTTCCTCCTCCCCCTCTTCATTCCCCTTCCTCACCTTCTTGTCCAGCACTTGGCTGTGTGTGGAGGTGGAATTCTAGCTTTAATGATCCAGTGGTGAGAATGCGGGGAGCCAGGTGCTACATGTTGCTCTCACCTGTGTCCCTCCTGCCCAGCGTGCCATTCAGGGCACCCAGAAGAGTGTCTGGGGGTGATGAGTGGGTGAAAGGGCAGAGCTGGTACCTAGAATAGGGTGAGGAGTGATGTCGCTCCCGCTCTGGTTTGCTGCCAGCGTACCTGATGAGCTAGGGATGGGCTCCTGCCCACTCCAGGATTTGGTCTCCCTATCTTGGGGCGGCGGGGGTGGGGGGAGGTCTTAGGTAGGAAGGCTTTGCAGAAATGGGTGCCTGTCCCTTCTTTCTGCCAGTCACTAGGACTCTCTAGGTGGGGATCAGTTGACAGTGCAGGGGTAGGTGGGCCTCGTGATGAGTGTTCCCCCCCAGAACAGCTGGAGCCTGGCAACTGCTGGGAATTCTGCTCTGTGCCCGTGGCTTTCTGCTCTGTGGACTGTGGCACAGATTTTGCAGTAAAGATTATCGTTGGCACAGCTCATGATGTGTAATGGCTTAGGCTGGGCCAGATGCCAGCCTGAGCACCTTGGGCACCTGTGGTTTAATCTTGTGAATTCTCACCACAAATTTCAGGTGCAGATCCTGTGATATGACCACCGTTTTACAGACAAGGAAACGGGGGCAGAGAGCGTGCACATGCAGGCCTGTCAATCCTTGGCAGCTGTGTCCTCCCACCGCAGGCCTCTGACTTCTCATGCTCTCTAAAGATCTATTTATTTGAGAGGTAGAGTTACAGAGAGAGAGAAGAAAGAGAGGTGAGGAGAGAGATTCCATCTGCTGGTTCATTCCCCAAATGGAAGAGGAGGAGAGAGAGAGAGATTGATTCCATTTGCTGGTTCCCTCCCCAAATGAGTGCAACACCAAGAGTGAGGCCAATCTGAAGCCAGCAGGCAGGAGCTTCTTTCCTGGTCTCCCATGTGGCTGCAGGGTCCCAAGGCTTTGGGCCATGCTCTGTTGCCTTCCCAGGCCACAAGCAGTGAGCTGGATGGGAAGTAGAGCAGCTGGGAGTGGAACTGACATTCATACGACTTGACAGATGAGACAGCTTAGCCAGCTGCGCCTCTGTGTCCGCTTCTGACGGCTCTTCCTCCACACCCTTCTCCTCCAGGGACAGGGGCAGACCCAGCGGTCAGCGCCAAGAGCAACCACTGCCTGGACGCAGCCAAGGCCTGCAACCTGAACGACAACTGCAAGAAGCTGCGTTCGTCCTACATCTCCATCTGCAACCGCGAGATCTCGCCCACCGAACGCTGCAACCGCCGCAAGTGCCACAAGGCCCTGCGCCAGTTCTTCGACCGCGTGCCCAGCGAATACACCTACCGCATGCTCTTCTGCTCCTGCCAAGACCAGGCATGTGCCGAGCGCCGCCGGCAGACCATCCTGCCCAGCTGCTCCTACGAGGACAAGGAGAAGCCCAACTGCCTGGAGCTGCGCAGCGTGTGCCGCACCGACCACCTGTGCCGGTAAGGTCATGGCCAAGGTGCTGATAGGTCCGAGCCAGCTCCCTCCATCCCGAGGTGTGAGTGGGGAGTGGATTCTGCAGCCTGGTAGTATTGGGCTTGCATCCTGGCTTGATGACTTGCTAGAGTTGACGCAGTTTTCTGGGTTTCCATGCCTTCACCCCCTGAGACAGGAAGAGCGGCGTCCTGTAGAGTAACGGTGAAGCATTTAATGACGTGTCCAAGGCTTGGCACAGGAGTGGCGGGCAGTCAGGTTAATCAGTCAGTGCAGCCTCATGACTGAGAAATGTTTTTGGGTTCCAACGGGTTGCAGTCTGGCTCTTCATCAGTTCTCATGTTTCTCCTGTCGGTTGTGTACTAGTCTCCATCGAACCCCTGTTGTGTACAGTGTTGGGTTTGAAGGCCTGCTGTTGTTGAGGCGAATTTGAAGCTCTTGCAAGGGGCACCCAGGTTCAGTGGGATGATGCTGAGGGTCCCTAGAAGAGGCAGTATAGGGGTGGCACTGGCCTCTGCCTGGGTGCTCAGGGTGGGAGGGTCTTGAGATGAGCTTGCACGTAAGGCAGGGGCTCTTGGGGTGTGGGTCCTGGTGGGAGGTTGGTGTAGAGATGGCAATTTGCTGCCCTAGGTGATGGTGTTTATGGATTTTCTGCTGTGTGCTGCATACTACTGCCGTCTCACTTAGTCCCTCAGTGGAGGGTTAAGGAAGGCGTTTGTGTCAGCTCTGTGTGTTAGGTGAGAAGACGGGGTGGTGACTGGGTGATGTTCATTTCCATTCTGTATTGGCCACACCTCATCCTGCATGGAGAGCTCCGTGTGTGGGGAGCTGTCCACTGTTGAAAGAATAAAGACTACTGAGCGCTATGGAGTCAGAAGGTGGAGGTGATGCAGGACAGGCGTCCCTTTGGCTGTGACTGGGGTTAATTGGCCTTACCTGTGCGGTTTGGTTGGGTGCCTGAACCTAGCCTCTGAGGTCAGGTCCCCTATAGCAGGGCAGGAGGGAAAGCTTGATGGGTCCTGTACTTCCTTGAATATGGGGGAAGAGCACATGCTGATTCTTAAGTTCTCTCTGTTCTAAATGCTGAAACAACCTCAGCAACACATCAGGCCCAGAGACAGGGCAGATGAGGAACCAGCCTTGAGGTGTGTGTCACTCAGGGGCTCATCCATGCTAGGGCATAGGCCAGTGCCCCCACAAAACTGGGGGACTTTAAGAGGTTGGTGCTGCGGTCTGGGAGTCCAGTCTGAACTTCCTGACTCCCTCATTGTTGGTGTGCAGGTGGAGGGAGAGAGAACAGGGTGTTGTTCTCTGGTGAGGTGGAGGTGTTTGGAGTTGGCTCAACTGGATGGTTTTCTTTGTTTTTCTGGAGGTGATTGCTGTGGTCTGTGTGTGGCAATGTTGGGAAGCGGGGCCTGGTGCATAGGGTCGGGTGATGGGGCAGAGGGGTGGCTGGTGAGGGAGCCCAGCCTGCTCCCTCTTCTGACGGCACTTGTTTGTATTTCCACCTGAGCTATCAAGGAGCATGGGACCTTTACCAGGAGCCATGCAGATGTCAGCATTAAACACTTGGGTTTCCCAGGCCTGTGTCAAACAAATCCTGCTCTTTTTAAAATTAAAAAAAAATTAAAAAGAATTGTAAAGATCTGTGACACACACACGCACACACTCAGGGCTCTCATCTGCTGGTCGACTTCACAGATGCCCACAGCAGCCAGAATTGGGCCACAGTTGAAGGAGTGCTCTGTGAGCTGCATCTGGGTCTCCCATATGGGTGCAAGGTCCCAAGCACTTGGGCCATCCCCCTCTGCTTTCCCAGGCCATTAGCGGTGAGCTGTATCAGAAGTGGAGCAAGTGGGATTTGAAATTGGTACCCATAGAGGGTAGTCTGATGCACCACTGTGCTGGGCCCATGGTGTGGCCTTTTAATGTATGTATAAAATGAGTATTGCTCATGTTGGAGTAGATTATACATAATTCACATATGCCTCGCTTCAGAGTTTGTTTGTGTTGGTGACATTCAAAATCCTCTCTGTTAGCTATTTGGAAAAACACAGTTAATTGTTGCCAGCCACAGTTATTCCTGTGTGCTGTGGAGCAAGGAATTACGGCTTCCATCCAGCCACACCCAGCACTCCGTAATAGTTCCCATTACCTCCCTTCCCACACATCCCCTGGCCCCTGCAACCGCAATTCCATTCGCTGCTTCCACAAGGGCAGCGTTTTAGCTTCCACCTAAGAGGGAGGACACGCAGTTCTTGCCTGTCAGTGCCACCCTCATTCTCCTTTACACCATGACCTCTAGTTCCACTTACGTTGCTGCAGATGGCAGGTTCTTGCTTGCTTGCTTTTATGGCTGAATAATATTCCATTCTGTATCTAAAGGTTGCGTTTTCTTTATCCGTTCACATGTCAGAGGCCACCTTGGTTGATTCCACATCCTGGCAGCTGTGAATGGAGCTGTAGCAAACACAGGTGTGTGGGTGTCTCTTCATGCCCCTTTGTCATGTTCCTAGAAGTGGGAGACTTGGAGCTCAGGAGAGCTCTGTTGCAGATTGTCTGAGAAACCTCAGTACTGTTCTCCACTGCGGCTGCGCTAATTTACGCTCCTGCTTGGCATCCTTGCCAATGCTGGTTCTTTCTTGTCCTCGTGGTACCAGTCATGCTGATGGCAGGGAGGAGGCGGTTTCTCCTTGTCACTTTGATTTGTACTTCCCCAGAGGCACGTGTGATGTAATCTCTATAGTCTTTACAAATCACTTGTGTCAGGTATTTTCTATAGTAGCCCCAAAATGGGGATGGGCCCTGTCTGACCTGTGGACTGCCTGCCGCCTGTGACATGATCTCTCTTGGCCCAGCCAAGGCGCTTGCAGGCGCGACTCGAAATCCACTAAGCCCCACGACAGGCTGAGTTTCCAGTTGATAATTCTGTGTGGCCTGTAGATGCTGCTTTTAAAGATCCAAATAGTCCTTGGCAGAAAGGATTGAACTTGAACCTGAGGGAGAAGCCCAGAAGAGGCAGAGACCTGGGTGAAGAAGTTCACACTATGGCCCATCTCTCCCATGATCCTCAACCCTGCTCAACACGCTTACCCATGTGCAGGTTGAAAGCACAGTCCTGGGAGGGCCGGCGTTCAAGCCGAGTAGATCTGAAGCTGGTTAACTTAACACGCCTGCGACCCATGCCTGAGTGCTTGGGTTTGGTATCTGGCTGTAAACCCCTGCCTCTGGCTCCCTGCTCATGTGTGCTGTGGAAGGAAGGGCATGGTGATGGTTCAGGTAGCTGGCTTCCTGCAGACCCATGTGGGAGACCTGGAGTTTGGGTTCCTGTCTCCTGGTGTTGGCACCATTGCTGCCTCTCAAACAAGCAAAAAGGGCCATAGGGAAGGGATGAGGGTGGAACATGCATTTTTAGGTGGGATGATTGGAGACAGGCACTGGGGAGAGCAGAACCCGGGGTGCATGGTGGCAGCAGGTGGCAGGTGGAAGTGGCCACCTGCTTTCTCTCAAGGCTTCAGCCGTGTTCTGGTGGGTGCACCCAGCCTGGATAGCCTCATCCTGTGCTCAGGAACCCTTTCCCTGCTCTCCTTAGCCGTCTCCAAGGACCTCCGGGCTCCTCTGTGTGTGTGTGGTCCTGATCTGTCCAGGTGGTCTGCCTTTTCCTCTGACTGGCAGAAGGGAGGAGCTTCCTTCCTTCCTTCTCCTGCGGGCGAGTGTGAGCCACTGACCACATGGATCCCCTACTCAGCAGCACCTGGGACAGTGCCAGTCATAGCCTGTGGGGGACAGAGCAGGAGGCCTGGGCTTAGCCATCCGTGGTGCCCTTCCTCTCCTAGGGGTTGGTACCCTCCAGACCAGGACAGACAAGTGTGCTACAAGTAGGGTACTGTTTACTGTGAAAAATGGGAATGCCCCAGGCCGAGGTGGTTGGAACAGGAACTGGAGACGCCTTGGAGCCTTCCTTTCCAGGATGGTTTCATGAATGGAAGCAATTTTGAGTTGGGGTTTGGGAAACCAGGGGTGCCCTTCTGTAACCCCCTCGCTCCTGAGCCAATAGTGTACAGCGTAGCCCCGCTGGCCAGGCCTCCCCTTGCCTGGCTGTTTGCCTGTGTGGGCTGGGGTTTATCAATGCATGGCTTTTGGTCTGCGATCTTTGGGTACAGCTCTGCCAGAGCCATTGTCACCTGGCATTGCATTCAAGCAAGGTCTCTGATTGGCACGGTGTGGGGCATCACCAGTGGGATGTTTAATGGACTTCCTCCCGTGCTGCCTCTTGTCCAAGGAGCCGTGCTCAGACCAGGCTGTCTGCACACTGGGCCTTGGCCCATCGCAAGCACTCAGACATTCTCCCACGCTCTTAGGACCCAGGAGGGTGGTTTGGGGTCAGTGGCTCAGGGCTGGAGCTCCCAGCCGGGTGGAAATTCAGAAGCTGCTTGTTCAGTTCCACTGTCTTTGGAAGTTGCAGCCCCCTGGGGCAGGGGCATCCAACCTCTCCCTATGCCTGCATTGGTCTGAATCTTCAGGGCTGTGGACTCAGCTTGTGCAGGGCCTGGGAAAGCGCAGGAGGAGGTATTTCCACCCTAGTCATCTGATCACAGAGCTGGGAGAGCCTCCTATGGAATTTGGCTTGACGGGCATCGTCATCTACAGTTTGTTTATCTATTTGTTAACCACAAGCCTTGAGTTCAGAGCCTCTCCGCTTACACTCATTGCAGAGAGGGTCTCAGTGTGTGTGTGTGTGTGTGTGTGTGTGTGTAGCAAGGGGCTTCCAAAAAACCAGAAATTCTGGTGTCTTATGTGCTGGGCTGCTTTCAGGCCTCCTTGGGAAGGGGCTGTCCAATGTACCCCTCCGCCCCTGCCTCTTCTTTTGCCAAAAGGATATAAATAGCTCTGTGCTGGCCCCATGCCATCCCCTGGGCTGTAATTTAACCTCGGGCTGCTGACAATGGGTTTTAATAGAGTCCAGGCCGGAGCTGTCCCGACAGCTGGGGGGCCCCTGCGTGGTAGA